ATAACTATTATGAGGGGAATCATACGTGATAGAGATAGAGGAGTAACATATAATGTAGAATGGAATGATAATGACCAATTAATTGGGTCTAATGCTGCAAAGTTGACAAGCTACATTGGTACGCTTGTTCGTATACACATTCCGATCACCACTCCTAGATGGAAAAGAGGAGAGTTGGATGAGGCTAAGGAGAAAGTTTGGACTGAGATAAAGGTACATATATGGTTTTTGTTATTTGCTTTATCTTAACGATAATATGTGTTTAAATTTCTTTTACTAACACACTTTATGCGTATGTTTTATTGTAGAGGTCTTTTAACATTGAAGATACCCGTAAAAAGTATATAATGGGTTTGGCTGGAAAAAGACACAGAGGGTGGAGAACATTTTTAACAAACAAGTATCTTAAAGATGATGAAGGAAATGTTCTTGAAGAGGATCCGGAACGTCCAAAGAAATATGAGAACTTCATTACACCTGAAGAATGGGTTGGTTTTGTAGGCCAAAGAAGAGACGAGAATTTCAAGAAAGTGAGTGCTATAAATCGCGAGAGAGCGTCAAAACCCGCATATCCATACAAAAAAGGGCGTTTGGGATATGCTCGCTTAGAGGAAAAAATTGTAAGTAAATATAAACTCTACGATCTTATTAATTCTCTCAATGTGTTATATAGTTGATGATCTTAAGACTTCCGTCATTGCGTAGTTAGAAGAGACGAAAAGTGACGCAACATCACTACCGGCACATTTATTGTGGAAGGAAGCCCGTGTGGGCAAGGATCAAGCTGTTAATCCTGATATTCAACATGTGTATGATGAATGTGTAAGTATAAGATTGTGTCTTTAGTTAAATCAATTAATGTTTATTAATACTTAAGTAATTTTTTATCTCCACTAATAATTTTTTATATGTAATTGAATTACAGGAGACCTTGTCCCAATCGGTATCCCCAGGTGAGGATCCTCACGATACCAGAAGCGTACTTAGTCGAGCACTAAATATTGCTGAGTATCCGGGTCGGGTGAGGGGTAAAGGTCATGGTGTGACTCCAACCTCTTTGTATAAGCATCCAAGGAGAAGAAATCCTAGCAATGCAGAAGTGATGCAAACATTGCAGGATTTACAAGCTCAAGTTCGTGAATTGCAGAAGGATAAAGAGAGATATATGGCGGAAAAGAGCAGTTCACAATTGAAAGAAACTAGTGACAAAGCTAGTATCAACTGTCAGCATAAATTTCCCGAGGTAATTTTCAATATATATCCGTTATTACTATAGAATATTTTTAGTCACTTCTAACGGTTATTATTGGTTTAGGGCATTTCATCTTGCCAGCTATACCTATCGTCACCGACTTATCGACTAGTTGGCAAGGGAAAAGTCCATAACAGTTCGGGAGATTTACTTCATAATAGACCGCTTCCGGATGGTCACATGAAAGTATCGGTTGACATTGCTTTAGATATGGATGCATTGCTGCCGGTACCTGACATTGTTGCTGAGACCACATTGCTGCGAGATGCAATTGGATCTTTTGTTGCATGGCCATCAGACCTCATTTTCATAGATGATCAGGTATGTTGAAAACAATTATGAATCTTTAAGTCTTCAACTGTCAGTTCTGACCTCAGTTATTTCCACGGTAATTATAGACTCCTACAACACCCGCATCTAAGGGTAAAGGGATTTTGCGGCACGACGAGTCTGACGTATCACCAAAAGAGGTACGTTTAAAGTGTTAATTATATGATCCGAATAAAAAACTGCATAATTTTATAATTTAACCGAGTTTTTATGATTTTTAGGTACCTTTTCATGGGTCACAACAAGTGAGCCAGAAAATCGTTGGCGTACCATCCAAGAAAAGGGTGCCTACTAGATTTTTCCCTCGATACCGGCAGTGTCTTGAAACAATAGTGGGAACAACAAATTTGATGGATGGTGGTATTCGTCAAATGGATATGGATCAAGGTATTTTTGGTTTTCCTTGCACCGAAATAATTGGACATGAGGACGTGGAACAGATTTTCCGTCATAAAGAATTGGGCGTCAGTATTATGCACGCATACATCCGGTAACCCCATCTTTATATTATGTAATTAGCTGAAATCTTTTTTAAACATTTTCAATGAATATACTCTAATATTAATTATGTTTTTATTTAAGGCTGTTATATGACAAATTGATGCGCGTGAATCAATTGTCAAACAGATTCCATTTTGTGTCTTCCTCCCGTGTCAGTGGAGCGACAATTGGTAGGGAACCAGATTCAGTAAGAGAGCACTTAGTCGAAAGATTCATGGCAACTTACAGTACAGAAAACTTATATCTTTGAGCGTATAATACTATTCCTACAGGGTTAGATTTTCATTCTAAGTTCATTTTAATATTTGTAATTTTTGCGTAGAAAAATTTCTTCTAAACTGTTGTTTTAATTTATAGACGTCACTGGTTGTTGGTTGCTATCGATCCTATAAAAGAAGTGGTCTATTATCTGAATTCGATTGACGGTTAATGGACAAATTATCCGGATATGAAGTTAATGATTGATACGTAAGTGAGATTATTCTAAATATTTGTGTGTATTTATGTATTTAATTATTTCTGTGACATTGTTCTAAATATATATTTTTATTTTTTTAGAGCGATACAAGTATTCTAGTGTCAAAGAGAAGCTCGGGTACGACGGTCTAAATCAAACAACATTAATTGGATCAAAGTGCAGGTATATTAATTTCCACTATTTTGCTTATAATATTTACGCTATTTGATAAAACAATACAACTATATATTCTTATTTGTTTTTCTATGTAGTGTCCTCAACAGCAAAACGGTATAGATTGCGGATACTTCGTTATGCGGTTTATCAAAGAAATCATTCAACTGAATCAAATAGAGATTCCAGTCACGGTATGAATTTATAACTTAGGATTTGTTTTATTATTTCTCGGATATTCCATATAATTTTTTACTTTTAACTAAATCATGCATATTATGTTTTCTTATGTAGTACTTCGATGAGTACAAATGTGCATATTACACGAAACTTCAGTTGGAAGAAACCAAAGAGGAGTTGTGTCAATATTTTATTGAGCAGAGAATAATATGAGGACTGGTTTAGTTGTTGTTAGGGTTGATTTTGTAAGACTTATTTTGAGTTACAATACTGATAACAATGGTTTATATATAATTTGAGATACAAACATAATTTATGATTGATTTTGAGCAATGATAGTTTCTTGTTTATGGTTTCTTGTGTTATACTTGTGTACTAAAGTAGTTGATAGAATAAAATGAATTTAGTGAAAAGTATTGAGTATTGGTTTTGTTATATTGAGTATTGGTTTTGACTCAGAAACCGTAAACCATGGATAAGACATGGATGTATTCCAATCGATTGTCGAAAGAGTACGAGAACAAGGTATCGGAATTACAATGCATTACCGCTATTTATGAATTACAGGTTATGGCAACTGGTTTATATAAATAATATGCTGCAAACAATGCAGGTATATGAATTATATAAATAATACCTCTAAAAAAAAACACCCTATGAAAGCGCTTTTTGGAGAAAAGCGCTTTCACAGGTAGACCTATGACAGCGCTTTTCCAAGAAAAAGCGCTGCTAAAAGACAACCTATGAAAGCTTTTTTCCAAAAAAAGCGCCACCAATGAAAGCGCTTTTTCATAAAAAAGCGCTGCCAAAAGCCTACTTAAGAGAGCGCTTTTTAGAAAAAGCGCTGCCAAAAGCCTACTTATGAGAGCGCTTTATAGAAAAAGCGCTGCCATAAGGGTACTAAAGAGAGCGCTTTATAGAAAAAGCGCTGCCATAAGGGTACTTAAGAGAGCGCTTTTTAGAAAAAGCGCTGTCATAAGTAGACCTACGAAAGCGCTTTTCATTAAACAAAAAGCGCTGCTAAAACCTATAGCAGCGCCACCTTAGAAAGCGCTTTTAAGCGCTTTTAAAGGCCAAAAAAAGTGTTTTCGTAGGTCTTTTTTGGCGTAGTGTTAAACATATATAGATATAACAAAGAAATAAAAAATTCTAAATCGAATTTAAAAAATTACTATATAAATTTGATTTTATTTTGCAATTTTATTATACGCACACATCAAAACTGCATAATGAAAATAAAATTCATTTTAATGTAAATATAAATATAAAATGACATTGTTTTTATATATTTTATTGTTAAAATGTAAAAAGATGAAATATTTACTAAAAATTAAAATAGAATTAAAGTCTTGAAAAGAACATTGAAAGATAACTAGTAATATAAAGAGGATTAAAAAATAGAAAAAAAATATAAAAAAATATTAGTTAAATTTATATAAAAACATTTTTTCGTGACCGAATAGGTGGTCACAAAATTTTAATCGCTAAATTGATGATTAATTTATTTTAGTGATTGATTTAAAATTAACTCATGAATATCAAATTTTAGTGACTAATACAATCGCTATAGTGACTAAATTTTTTTGGTCACTAACAACAATTTTCTAGTAGTGCATGTAGCTACAAGCCAGAGAGGCGCTGATCTATCAACATTAGCCGGATCTCTCTCCAAGAACCTATATTGTTCACCTGCCAAGGTGATAAGCCACCTGTATTGTTCACCTGCTAACAAACATCAATTTTTTATTGCCAAATGATCAATAGGTGTCATAGAACAAGACAAGCATCATAATCAAATTTATTAGTCATAATTGTGCAATTCAAAAATCAATTTAAAATCGCGTTAAATGTTAAACGAGAAGACTATTTTAACTTTCAGAAGCACGCTACATTGCAGAGAAATACTGGAAATTGTGTATACACCAAAGAAGTTGAGTTTGAAATTGATAGATTAATATGTAGAACATGATGAATTAAGAGTATGGAAAAGAAGCTGCAACATATCAAAAGCACTAAAATAAGTTATTACTACAAGACTTTTCATTGTCTAACAATACTAGCCATTGCATATTTCCCTCGTTGAATAATACATGAACTATGATAATCATGTTACAACCTGAAACTACATGCCTATGTCTGATAATCAGGTTGCTGATATAAAAAAGCTTACTCCTTGTCCACCATTGATCTGACACTCCAGATGGAAACAAAACTCCATGCTTCAGAGTCCTCTTTATATACTTGAGTATCCTGACCGCAACTTGGTAATGTGACCACATTGATTTACTCGTAAACTTACTCACCATTCCAACTGTATAAAATATGTCAGGTATGATATTGCACAAATATCTCAAAAAATCCAACCAACTATTTAAATGTTGTAGCATATTTATCCTCTGCATATGGATCAGAATCTAGCATATAGTTTGTTTCTACAGGTGTGACCGCAAATTTACTATTCATCAGATAAAACCTCTTCATCAGCTCTTGTTCGTACTTCAGCTGATGCGTAACGCTTCCTTTTTCAAAGCGTAGAATCTTCATCCCTAGAAAATATACTAGACTTCCAAGTTCAATCATATCAAATGTATTCATCAACACCTTCTTCAACTTGTTTATCTCAACAATACAACTTTCTGTTAGCAATGTGTCATCAACGTAAAGACACATAAGAATCACATTGCCATCAGATATATGATGCATATACAAACCATACTCAATTTCACATTTCCTAAATCCCCGATGCTTGAAAAATTAATTAATTTCCCTTCCTAATTCTTTTTCATAACTCTAGGAGGTTGTGACACATAGACTTACAATGTTTATCAAACTGCTAGTATACCTTACAATGTTAATCAAACTGCTTGTATGGATTCCATGTTTTCAGTTAATTGATGTCTGTTTGTTTTCCAAAGCAAAATAAAATAGGTAGTATATATTTCATAGGGTCGTACAAAATTCTATCATGTTTCTTTTGGATTCGTTACTTTTGATCTTAATACCAAATGAAATATATTATGCAGCTTGCTCAAGATAAGTAAAGAAGTGGTAATAGATGCAACAAATAAGGGAAACATTCCACGTATTATAAACCATTCTGTAAGTTGTTTCTACTTTATTCTATCTTGGTTTTTAGTACTTCATTTCCTCTACAATGCTGTTAATCGACAAAAAAAAAGAATGGCACAAATGTTAGTTTACATTACAAATGTTGTATGTTTCTGATAAAAATAATGAATCGTTGTAATTGCTGCAGTGCATGCCAAACTGCTTTGCAAGGATTATGAGTTTGAGTGATGAGGAGAGCGTGATTGTTCTTATTGCCAAAACTAATGTTTCTGCTGGTGAAGAACTAACGTACAATTTCTTGTTGTCTTAATAGACACAAGGACGGTTTTTCAACCCTTGCCAAAAGAAAAAATTCAATTTGAGAGACAAAACATCAACTCCAATGAAAGCACTATTGAGGATGGTACTTATGCAACTATTAAGGATGGTAGTTATGCAACCATTCCAACTCGGATTCTGTAACCAAGCCAAATTAATGGACCTCAGCCGCGTCTTGTGAAGCAAATGATGAATGGGCTTTCAAACTGAAAACATTTTTATTTTAGGATAGGGATGTGTTTTCTTATGAAGAAATTGAAAGACAGATGATCAACTCTAATGAAAGCACTGTTATGTAAACATTCCAAATTCTGAAACAAACTTGGATTATGTATACTGGTCAAATTAATAAACTTCAACCATTTCTGTCTGGGACGTGTTTTCTCCTAAATAAAAAACCGTCGCTAAATTATAAAGACCAAAAGTTAAAATTAAAATTTGTAAGAGGACCCTTCTTTGAAGAAAATCTTTAGAGGGACTAAAGTTGAAAACCGTTATATTTAGAGGGATCAAAAAATTATTTAACCCTTTTATTAATTTTCAATGTCTTAAAATCTAGCGCTTTTTTTATAAAATATCAACAATGTGATTTTATATCATTACGGTTTTTATAGATAACCGTTGTGGTATAATTATTTTTCTTTAAATTTTTAAAATTTTAAAACCTGGCGCTTTTCATAAAATTTCATCTATTATCACAACATGTTTAAATGTTAATCATGTTGATATGTAGTATTCACTATAAGGTAATAGAACTAGCTAGCTAACATGTCTCTTCAGTTCCATTTTTTCATTTCCATCACGAAACAACGTCATTTCAACCTTAATGAAACAACACCATTTCAACCCTAACAAAACAACACCCTTGCAACCCTAACAAAAAATATCAGTATCATCCATTTTAAACATCATTTTAAACATCATGTGTTCTTTAGTATCGTATGGAAGGAGCCAACGCCATTTGAAACATCATTGGTTCTTTCGTAACGTCTAGAATGAGCCTTTGGTTTAGCTTTTGAGGAGAAACTCAAAGAAGGAGTCAACTCCGTTTTATACTTATTCATCACATTTTCGTTTCTAGTACGTAAACATTTTTCCCATGCATCTACAGTACCGTTATTTTCTATTGTTTATATTGTCATTGTTGTTGATGATGCTATTGTTGTTATTGTTGATGCTATTGGTTTTGTTGTTTCTCATTGTTGTTGATGCCATTGTTGTTGATGATGCCATTGATGTTGGTTATGTATTTACTATTGTTTATGCCTTGTTATTGGTGATGCTATTGTTGTTGTTGTTGTTGATAGATGACCACTTCCTCTGCCTCTGCATCTTCTTCATCCGGTAGCGGCAAAGATACGCTTACAAGTGAAACCAATGCAAACGATACTCAATCTGTCGGCAGAGAATTTAAAAAACAAAGAGGTTGCAGAATGATGGCTAATATAAAAAAGACCACAAGTAAGGTACCAAACTTCTGGTCGAGTTTAGTACCTTTTATATGATTCTTAATGGTTCTTATTCTTCCCTCTTTATGAGTTATGTTGTGTTTCTTGGACGTAGCAAAGTCAGCATATTAATAAATGATTGAAAAGATATAACAAATGAGGTGAAACTGAGCATATAGAAATACATTAATGAATTAGTTTTAATTTTCTTTGATTTGATATTACTTTATATAAACATTAATACATACTTATTGATGTAAATGTGCAGTTGACATTTGAGTTTAGTGATGACTCAAAGATGAAAAAAAAGTGGATCACTTATGCTGGTACGACTTGGAGGAGTTTTAAGTCATGACTCATGACTAACTACATCATGAATCCTAAGCCTAATATTGGGCGCCCGTGGGTGAAATATCTTTTTCTAAGCCAGAAGATTTGGAGAAAGTTTGTCAAGTCTCGTAGTACAGATAATTTCAAGTTTAGTACCAGTTGCATTTTCTGATAATTTGATAGATACAACCATTACCGTTAATATTTCTCCTATGCTTTAAACATGTTAGAAGTGAAGCGGGAAAGGCGAACAAGGCTAAAAACAAATACCCCCATAGATTGTCTCGTGGGGGTTACATAAGTGATTGATGAAAAAAGACAACAACTAGGAGATGCGAACATGAGTGGTGATTGGAAACCATCTCCACCACCATGACATGAGAAGTGGAAGAGGGTGCGACAAAGGCCAAATGGAGACTACACTTCTGAGATCTCAAGACTAGTCGTTGAGAGAATTGTAAGTACATAGGAATTGTTGTGCATATGTTAAGTGGTATTTAAATTTTCTTTGGAATTAACAATGTATGTATTATCATGTCGTGTAGGATTCGTTGGTTACCTTGACCCGCGAAGGTCCTTTGTTCTAGAACCACTGCATGATATATTAGTAGAAGACATCAGAATAAAGGAGCACGGTGGATGTTGCAGCGATAAAAAATGAGGCGGGGTAAATCAGAGATCAAGCTATTAATTAACTTGACTCACAAAAAGAAAGAGTCGCCACTGCGCTTTATTATTTCTAAGGGAAAGGGGAAAAGAGCGAAATAAAACTCTTAAATATGCAATGTAACGTAATACTTCAAAGTAATGAAAATATAATGCGTTTTTTGAAAGAGATCTAGAGTTCGAGGGTTGGTTATACAATGGGAAGATATTAGTACCCAATGCATCTGCGATACTCCGCAGAAACCTTTTGAAGTATCTGTTTTTTGGTTAAAAGTTGTTTGTTTGGTTAAAATGGTTTGTTTGGTTAAAAAATGGGTATGGACGAGATTTTAAAGATACGAGGACCTAGTGTCGATGTTTTGACTTAAAAGGGGTGTCAGTTTTAAGATTGACTTTTAGGAGAATTAACTTAAGTTTAGCAAAATAGTAAAACAAAAATGAATGAAGGGGTTCGCTCAATCGTATTACACATATTTGATGACATGAAGTCAACAAAGTCAAAATATTTCCCTTGGAATTGAGACGGGTGAAAGATATAAAGATTAAACGATCGATAATAAAGTTAATTAGAGCGACAACTGAATAATAACAAACTTCAATAAGAGATTAATTTATAAGTATGTATCTTTAAATGATTAAATAAATAATCAAAATTAAATAAATACTAAATTATAATAGCATGTATTTTTAACAATTAAATTAATAACAAAAATTAAGTAAAGACTAAATTATAAAATATGTATTTTTGTATTTTTTATAAAGGCAAGAAAAAAATTGTAAAATGAACTAAATTAATATTCATTATCATATATTTAATAAAAATGGGAATAATGGCTAAATGAACTAAAAAAATAAAATAAAATACCCCAGCAGGGGTTGAACTCGGGTCTTCTAGATTGCAACATACAAGCTTTGCCAACTGAACTAATTTTTCTATCTGGTTATATCCATGTTTCTGTTAAAATAAAAGGGTGTATATGATGAGTGATTGGGCCAATAGGCCCAATGGGACTGACCCGGTTGGGAAAGAAACAAGGGAAATTTGTAACCCTAATAATTAAGAGTCGGTGTGGCTTGGTCTTAGGAAGGGAATAGGTCATGCTTAAACTCGACTCCCTAAAATTACTCTTAACTGCATATTGACTTATCAAATCAACCTCTCTCACACGCCCAAAACCTTCCAATGCAACCTTCTTTGTTTACTTTCTAAATACCAAAACAACAAAACCGAATTTCTCCTTCCCTCTCTTAATCAAGTCTGTTTTTAGTTTCACTAAAGGGTCTGTATCGAAACATTCCCCTCAAAAGTGATTTAGCTTCAAAGATCCGGCGAGGATTCTTCTCATCCAGTGTCATTCCTTGCATTGTTACGGATACAGATGAGAGAAAACAGAACCCTCTAAAGCTCTCTTTTGCAGGTGAGGTCAGTACTCTCCGACGAGCTTCAACTCAACGTCCAATCGTTCCTTCCCGTATGGACGACGAGGTTTCTGGGTTTGCCTTCTCTAAGTTTTGTTGAGTATTAGTAACAAGAAAATGTTCCTGATTTACAGGCGGTAGATCGCGAGGTAGAGGAAAAAAATGATGATGGATATGAATCGTGATATTCGCGAAGCTGGGACACGTAAATAACAAGATGGATTAAAGAGGGAGGAAGATCAATTTGTCCATGCCTTTGGGACCGAGACTGGTGCGAATAGTGTAGTTGTAGAACAGGGTTGGTGGAGCGGACAGTTTGGTTGAAGGGTTTTGCTGTAGAGAAACGAAGCTCTGGTGGGAAAACGGTTTGCGGTGGAAGATGAAGGGGCAATTGGTTTACTGCATTTTTAAGTTTTCGATCTGGTTTATTTTCTTTTAGTTGAAGTATTTTTGGTTGATATTTTGCAGGTAAGTTGAAGATTGAAGGATTGATCGCGGTGGTTGATTTGGCTTGGTTTAGTGTTCTTTTATTGTAAATAAGCCCTTTTACTGCTAGTTTCTAACATGATTGGAGCTGTTGATGAAAGTGATTATTGTCTGAGTTTCCGGAGACGCTATGTATTGATGGCTAACAAAGGGAGTTATATCGAAAAGATGAAGATGATGGTTCAGCAGACATGGAGTATTGTGTAGAGGGAGTATGGTGGTTATGGGGGGAGATCAGAGATTTGTTGGGTTAGGTCGGTGGTGGTGTAAGACGATAGTGGAATATAGCTTTTTCTAACCTTTTCATATTTTCTTAACGATAGTGAAATATAGTTTTTCCTAAACTTTTCTTATTCTGCCACAGATTTTCTAACATTTTCTTCATCTGCCACATATTTTTGTTTTCTAAAAAATAGTGGAACCTTTCTTCATTTTCCACGGAAGACTTATTTCCCTTATACATCAGATCAACATGGGAGACGACAATGGAAACCACGGTATATTTTCAGATCAACTTGTTTACCTTAGTCATAATCGGACCGGGGTGGTAGTCAGTCTGTGTACGGAGGAAGACATAGGTGGAGTGGCAACAAGTGATTTGATAGGAGATGAAGATGGAGATTGAGCAATGGTGGAACTCACT